AAAAAACCTTCGACTTAGGAATAGATTCAGCGACCTCGACTTAAGGACTACGGGATGTGATCGGCGGATGCAGCAAACAGAAAATCTTTCGTGAAATTAGGGCAATGAATAGTCGTTTATCTTAAAATATAGATATATTTTTAAATATAAAAAATATTCATAAGTATACGGAAATTTAAAAATAATTTGGCGCGCTATTTTGCGCCGTGCGCAATGCGCCATGGCTCACATGTGGCGCAAATAGCGCGCGCTATTTTAAACACATGCGCCTCGCCATGAACATGGAACCGTAGGTGCGCCGCGCCGCGCCGTGCGCCATGGCGCGCGCCATTTTGCGCCATTGACAGCTATGGATACGGATGTTTCGAAGACGACGTTCAGGACACACGAGAGATACTATGAGTTCTTAGTGATATCATTTGGTTTCACCAATGCCCATGCTACCTTCTAGTCCCTCATAAACAAGGTGTTCTAACCATACCTCAGGAAGTTCGTTCTGGTTCTATTTGATAACATCCTAGTGTACAACAGGTCCAGAGAGGAGTATTTGAAATATCTTGAGGGTGGTTTTAGAAGTGTTACAGGAGCATCAACTAAGAGCCAATCTAAAAAAGTGTGTTTTGTATAGGCTAATGTGGAGTGCTTGGGGCACATGGTATCCTAGGAGGGGGTGACCGTTGATCAAGCCAAGATTGAGGCTATTTTGAAATGGCCTCTACCTAAGAACTTGAGAAAGCTTAAGGGTTTCCTAAGATTGACTGGGTAGTACAGGAGATTCATGAGAGGATACAGCATCATAGCCTGGCCACTGACAAGGCAGCTAAAGAATGACAGTTTATTATGGGGAGAAGCAGATACCCAGGCCTTCAAGAGATTGAAGATAGTCATGGCCACAATACCGATCCTGGCCCTTTCCCATTTCAACCAGATGTTCATGGAAAAGACTAATGCATCAAGATATGGATTGGGAATAATGCTCATGCAGAATCACAAGACCATAGCTTACTTCAGCAAGATTTTGATAACTAGAGCTAGGCTAAAGTCAATCTATGAGAGGGAATTGATGGTCATTATATTAGTTATTCATATGTGGAAGCCTTACTTGTTGGGCCGACATTTCATCGTCAGTGCATACTAGAGGAGCTTGAAGCACCTATTTGAGCAGAGGATGGTGACTAAGAAGCATCAAAGGTGGCTGTCAAAGTTGTTAAGTTATGACTTAGATCTAGTATAGGCCAAGGCTAGAGAATAAGGTGGCTAATGCCTTGTCCAGATGTGTAGGAAGCTCCAAGAGTTAGCCATTTTAATACTGCTGATGTTGGATTGGAGGGCTATTAAGTAGGAGAGTGTGCAGGATGAGGAGCTTAGGGGAATTAAGATGGATCTACTAAAGGATAGGTGTAGCCACCCTAGCTATTTCCTAGAGGGGGAGAGGCTACTGTACCAGGGGAGGTTTATGCTACCACAGACCTCAATCAATTTCACACACTTGTTGCAGGAGTTTCATGGGAGAGTTGTTGGGGGCCACTCTAGTGTGTAGTAAACATATAGAATATTGGTGGCAGAGTTATATTAAAAGAGGATGTCTAAGGATATGGAGGAGATTGTGACCATTTTTTATGTATGCTAGAGAAAAAAGTACATCGCCACAAATCTGGGGGATTATTGTAACCCCTAGCTCTTCCAAACATAGTATGGGAGGAGGTCACCATTAATTTCATAGATGGGTTACCCCAATCCATGGGTTTTATAGTGATTTTGGTGGTAGTGAATAGTTAAGCAAATATGCTCATTTCATTACCCTACGACATCCTTACACGATAGTAATAATGGCAGCAGTACTCATTAAAGAGATGGTTCGACTGTATGGTATACCAGAGTCTATAATATCCAACCGAGATAAGGTGTTCCACAGTCATTTCTGGAGGGAGTTGTTCAGGTTGCAAGTAATGTTTTAAAAATCGGACTGGACCGACCGGTCCAACCATGAACCGGTCGGGTGACTGGTCTGATCTAGCTCACAGAACTAGCTTCGCATCAAACCGGCTCGAACCAGATTGAACCAGGTGAACCGGTCTGGCTTGGAAAGAACCGATCGGTTATATAAAAATAATTATTTTATTTTTATTAAATGTTAAATAATATTGAGCTTAATTGAGCTGCAAATTTTGACAATCTATATTATAAATATGTTATAATGTTTATTATAAGAATTAATATTATAAATTTATATATTATATTAAATATTATTCTTATAAACATATAAATATATTATTCTTAAATGATATTTATATTTATAATTTTTTATTATATTTTCTAAAAATTTTATAAATATTATTAAATGCTCATATATTTATATTATATTATGTTAATTTAATTAATTTTTTATAATATTATTATTTATTACATCATCCAGTTTGACCCCGGTTCGACCCTGGTTCGATCGGTCGAACCGTGAACCTCTCCTACCAGTTCGTTGTCCGGTCCAGTTTTCACAACGTTGGTTGCAGAGGATCGTACTGAAGAGGAGCACTATTTACCACCCTTAGACGGACGGGTAAACGGAGGTGATAAATATGAGTCTGGAGATATACTTGCAATATTTTGCTTCAGAGACATCGGTTGTTGGTCCAGTAGCTAGCGTGGGCAGAGTACTGGCGCAACACTTCATATCATTTGGCTTTTCAAATAACATCTTTCAAAGGCTTGTATGAAAGGGAGGACCCACCTCACTTGGTGCACTTTGGAAAGAGTAACGTCAGTCTTTAGGTAGAGCTAAATATAAATGAGAGGGATAGGGTGCTGGATGAATTGAAAAGACACTTGTTGAGAGCTTAGCAGATTATGAAGAAGCTGGCAGATGAGCACAAAAAAGACATTCAATTTGAGATAGGGGATAGGGTAAACTTGAAGATTCGTTCCTATAGACAAAGGACGGTAGCTAATATGAAGAATGAGAAGTTAACCCCGAGATACTTTGGCCCTTATAAGATATTGGAGAGGATCGGAGTAGCGGCGTATCGATTGAGGTTACCCCCGACCTCTACCATACACCTGGTATTCCACATGTTATAGCTAAGGAGAGCTATCGAGAATCATGCATCCAGTGCAGAGTTACCTATGACAATGACGGAGGATTTGGAGGTGGTATTGGAATACTGAGTAGATGTATTAGATTTAACTTATGTTAAGAAACGTAGAGGTAGACATAAAAAGTCTTGATTAGAAAATATTAGAAATGACATTTCTTTATTAAATCTAAATGAGAATTTGATTCTTAACCAGACACAATGGAGAAAAAAGATTTATATAGCCGACCCCACGTAGTGGGATAAAAGCTTGATGTTGTTGTTGTTGTTGTTGGCACAAGGGAGATTCTAATTGTGGAGACTAAATTGCACCTTTTTGTTAATTTTACCCGGTTCAATATTTTTTGTTGATTTTCTTCAAATTTAGTCAATCATTGCAACATCATTTGATTATAAATCTTGTATTTGTTGAATTGCATCTACAAATCCTAAGTTTTCTTGTGTGATCTACATATTTTGCATCATTCTAGCTGCATTAGAAAAACCTAACTCTAAATAATCATTCATCACTACCATACATGCATTATTAGACTAGCTTCACAAAGTATACAAATAATAGTGGAGTTTCACATTTTTACATTTAAAGGAACTAAGATCATTAAAATAAATAGAAATCAGTTTAGAAAACCAATAACATACAGAATTTTGCGAAGACAGAAAGGCTGTAAGCAAGTGCATCACATCAAATTTGAGGGCATTGTGCAGCACAGCAAATAGTTTGGAAAGAGAAGCCACCTGAATAAAAGCGTCAATAATCATTGAAGCATCCCAGAATGTGTCCAATCGGAACACAAACAAAAAAGACTAATCATACTGCAACCTATAAACCAGTGTGAGAGGGAACTTTGCAAATACCATCCATGACATTGCGGAAAGATATCTTTTGTCCATAGTTTGGAGAGGTATCTCATCCAAAATAAGCTGCAGAAGTCTCACAGCATGTTCCAGTGACCGAGAACCTTAACAGTAATAACAAAAATCAGGAAAAAAACAGAAAAATATAATATTTGTTTTATAATTTATATAAGCGTAAACAATAAGTTAGTATGCAGGTTGTGATTTAAAAGTAAGAATCAACTTATTCAAGCGTTTGCATGATTTATCCTAGGATGTACAAATGATGATAACGTAATGCAAACACATAATGGACAATAAATTGAATTTAGTTCAAAAGTTAGTTCATGATAAAATGGACATAACAAAAGAACAGATTTGGCACAATAAAATTGAAAGCATTTGCAGTGCAAAAGGTGAAATTTACAAATATATTTTATAACTTCAAACACAACCGGTTACATACAGAAACAACTTTAAATTGACCATTCAAACATTTAATCTTCATTAGTACGCCACAACTTGCATTTTTTATCATTGCCTGCTTTCTTCTTTTCGAATTCTCCTTTTTCAATGAAGGGCCTGCTCCTCCTTTTGAACGATGAGGTTTATCCACTAGATTTTGGCTGGATGTGACCAGCCATTTACAGATATTATATTTTTAATGAAGCGTTATCAGCATTCCATAATATTTCACAATTCTCAGTTTGTATGATCCCTCAATAAAATGCCTAGAACTTCAACTATCCCACTACACTTTTAACAAGACAACAGTCAAAAAGAAATACTCCAGACTCACTGTCGACGTTTGTTGATCTCATCTTTCGCATTTAGGCCCTCGAGCGCACCTACAGTTCAATTAGTGTCAAATCGGCGTTGATGCATGCTTAATTTTATAAAATTGATGCAATCGAATTGAATTGAACCTAAATTGACGTAAATCGACTAAAATCCAGTTCAATTTGAGCTTGATTTTAGCTTAATCAGTCCAATCGTGCTTTCCAAACCAAGTTTTACATCCAATGGCTAAAATTTCCCCGCAAATTTATAGTTTCTATTACTTCAAGTATTTAAGCATGACGATCTGTAGAAACAAAGTTCAGCTTTTACCCTTGAATATTCAAGTCGCATCCGCCTAGGTGCTTTATTTACAGGAGGCATTTTAGTATTATAATGGAGAGCTTATGCACTGCCACCTCTAGCTATAAACCAAGCATCTTAGTGTAGTTTCATGCAAAAAAAAACATTTGTATTCAAGAAGTAACATTTTTAATTCTTCTGCTTTATCATGCGGAAGATTTGCAGTAAGAAAAGTTGGCTTTGGATCTTTTTCATACCAAAATTCACCTCTTTGAGTTCATCCACAATGGCTTGGCCACTTGATGCGGGCCACCGCCGACGCCGACCGGCAGAGGGAGGGCCGGCTACCCCGCGGCGCGCGGAAGCAGCCGGAACGGGCGCCGCGTCGTTCGATCCGCCGAAGCAGGGACGCGGGAGGGGGAAACGGAGCGGGACGGGGCCGATCGGCTTGAGCGGAACTGGTCCATTTCTGGACCAGTTTGGCTCAGGTCTAGCCTGAGCTGGGCGGTTCAGTTTGGGCATCCCACTAGTGGGTTTGGTTGGGTCTTTTGCTTGCTATAAGTAGGGATTAAGGGGGGATTTCTAGGGTTATGCAAGATTTGAGTTTTCTCTTAGCCTCCTTAGTTTATTTCTCTTGTTTTTCTAGGGTTTGTAGTGGGAGACCTTGTCCTTCTCGAAGTGGACAAATTGTATCTTGTTTTCCCTTGGATTTTGAATGCAAAGGTTTTGGTTCTTCATCTCATCCCTTTTGTGTTGATTTTTTCCTTGATTTGGAGGAGAAATCTTTTCTTTGAAGGAGCATTAGGGCAAACCCAAACTTGGGAACCCTAGGGCGTATCACCACCCTCCTCAAGTTCTCTTAGGGCTTCTTTCAGATCCACACTTAGATCTTCAGCTTGTGTTTCAAACTTAGGTGATTCTTCATCCTTATCTATAATATTGTAGGATGTTGCATATGTAAGATATGAATGCCAATCATACTCGAGATATGAATGTCAAGCATATCCGCATAGATAAACCATTTCCAATAGGCCTCTACGCATGTTCATTATGCCAGAGATTCCTGAAATAGTGGGCTCATTTGTTTGTTTGCAAGAAGAAGATATTTTTCTTAATAAGCCTTTGCATAATGGGTGTGAGATATCAAAGGACGATTATCCACTGATCTTCTTCTCACCATCCCTAATCTATTTCGTAAGAAACATGACTTAATATCGCATTTGCTTCATGGAATAAGATTCCACTCCCATTTTAATTTCTCCTCGGGCGAACATAAAATGTTTTATGTTTTTAACATTTCTTCATTTGTGCTCAATGAGCAAGTCAAAGTTTTAAAATATGTCGTCGGCATGGGCACTATTTTGATGATATTTCTGGACGTTTGACTTTCAGATACCCTTATCATCGAAATTGACACTTTCTTTAACTTTTCGGTTAGGGAATTGATTACTTGATCCTCTTCATTATGCAGCTCCGTTATGTTTCTAGGTTGATAGGGAAATTCTTCTTCTTCCTCATTGCTTAGTTTACTTTAAGAACTACATCATACCTTATTTGCCTGATTGGCTTCATAATCAAAAGGAATAGCTAATTGTTCACTTCTTTTCCTTTTGATTACAGGATTATAGATTTCAGATAAATCTTCTTCTTCGGTATCACTGCCAAGATGAGGCACCGAACTAATTTGTACAAACTAGCCTAGCGCCTTATCTTCATCTTATGGTAGAGCTTTTTCCTTGCCTTTATCTTTTGGCTTTATTTTATCGAGTATGGCAGCTTGAATTTTTGGAAGAGCCTCTACCTTCGGCTTGTGTTAAAAAATACTTGGGGTCATCATAAATATTAGTTTCATGTACCAAGAATGATTGTTCATTGTCGTCTATTTGATGTTCTTCCCCATCTCAATTGTATTTCTTGCACTGGTGCAGTGATGAAGTCACAATGCCATATTCATGAAGCCATGAAAATCAATTATAAGAAATCTTGCCTCTGTACAAAGTTCTCCAAAGCTTAGAGGCAAGACCAAGGTTCCCAAGATTCTTTGTCCTTGTTCACTGAAATATTGTACTTCTGTTCAGATATTGGACATCAAGGGCTAATCCTTTAAGCATTCTGAAACTCATTAGATTAACAGAGGAACATGGATCGATTATAATTGTGTTCACATGAGTATTGTTACTCTCCGTAATAACATAAAGTGGTCGATTGTGATCTGTCATTTCCAAGAGCAGATTGTCATCATTGAAAGTGATTGTAGGAGTATTTTGATCATACAAGGCTTCCTTCATACCTTACTCTGCTGTGGGCTCCGAAAATTCGGCCTCGGCCTCCACTCGCTTTTCTTATTCGGCGAGGGAGTTTTAACAAACTAAGTTCCGGGGTAAATTTTGGAAGGCAGATGGGTTTGTAGATAAGACACTACCCAGAGATTTCGCCCTCATTTTGTGAGGACTTTATGATCTGAGTTCTGGTTTCCTATAGGTGCAAGCCCCTATAGTTAATTACCCCTCCCGATCACGAGAGAGAACTTTCGATTAAGGCTAGTCGTCAATCAGATACGTATAGAATACGTGTTATCTGACATATAGTAGCAGCAATGATTGGATTTGGGGAAATATTTGGAAGTTTGAGAATTTGAGAAAATTTGATATTTGAAAATTTGAAGGTTTGTGATATTTAAAATAGAAATTTTCACCATCTAGTACTTAAAGCGGATGGTGGGGGAATGGATGATAGACCCGATCAAGATCCCATGGTTCCGTCATCCCAGGCCATCGTGGTCCCTGGTCTACTTAGTCAAAGGAGGTAGTCGACCCAACCTGACAGAAGGATCCTTGTCGGCAGCCATGGGTTGCTTCGTCCAAGGGAACCTTATAGACCGGGGTTG